CCCTCTCCACCTCAGAGTAGGCCTGGAGTTTTGAGGAGCGTCGTCGCAACCCTGCTGTGTGGATCACCGCTAGAGAGGAGGACGCTTGACCTCCTTCACCCTCTCTTAAGGATCTGCAAGGAAACAGGGATATACGATCTCCCTAGGTAACACAATCTCTATACGCAGTTTTGTGTTTTGCGGATTTTTGCACACCAATCTTCGCACGACGACGAATATCTTTTTGGGAATCGGGGATTTTGTTTTTCTTGTTCTTCCGCTGCGCATATGATGTCGCCCCCATGATTTCCCAATAGTGGCACTGCCTGGGCTCAGTCTTCGAGCGAGACTGGGCGGTGCAACCGCCCCTGTCAGGCGGTGGCACCGCCCCCGTAAGGGTTGTCTCCTAAATCCAGTAAAAGGAGAAGAGGGGTGTAAGAAGGAGGTTGATCTTCGCCTAGTAAAGGAAGATTGTTAGTGGATGTCAGTGGCCTCGACGGAAGAGAAATCAGAGGAGTGGATGTAGGTCACGATTGACCGAACCACTATAAACTCCCGTCTTCTCTGGTTTGCATTTTATTTCCTACTATTACCTTACTGCAAACCCCTTTAATAGCTTACTGCCTTCAATAAATTTACGTATGCTTTCAAGTTAAGTTTTCGAAATCGATTTTACATCGGAAACGATTTTATCGTATGAGAGATTTAACGAAGTTGATGTTTTTATCCGCTGCACTAATTCACCCCCCCTTCTTAGTGCTCTTGATCCTAACATTAAATACGAGACGATGGATAATAGGGCCATGGGCATGGTAGCGCTATGGTACCGTAGAGGCGGGACTTCTGTGAAGTCACCGATCCCTTACTCTTATAGAGGGAGAGTGCTTAGTCGTGAAAGGGGTCGAGGAGGTGGAGCATGCAGAGGCAAACTCCAAGTATCGAGACAAGGCCTAAAGAACTTCGTAAGACTAGTGTCAATGAGCTTCTCATCAAAATAGCCGAAAGTGAAGAACTTTAGGTCGTACAAGAGTGCACGACTAAAGAAAGAAGTAGGCAGTACGTAGTGCTATACCTTTGCTACTCAATGGAGTAGCGGTAGGGTTGATGGAGAAGACGATACAATCCCAGAGGTGACCAAAACTATTAGCTACTTACTCCAAGTTGGGGTAAAAACTTTCTGCATTTCAGAAGTTCGATGGTATTGAAAAGGTGAATCATAGTAGCTAACTCAATGCAAGGAGTGCAAACACTTTGAGTGTTTCAGAAGTATGAGTAAAGAGCAGGTGAAGGTTAGTAACCAGCTCGATATATGAAGTACAACCCTCGAGGAGGCGGGCGAAGTCAAGTAACCATTGTCTTCTCAACTCTTAAGAGAATAGGCGAAACCAAGTACCCCAATTCTCTTATCTATCCAATAAAGGAGCTCTACACAGGTGTAAAGACCCTTCAAAGATAATGGAAGATAATAGTTGTCAAATTCTCACCAATAATAATCTATGCTACTGAGAGTAGATTATCCGCTTCATTTCCCAATAGAATGTCAATCAAAAGCGGAAGTGATGTAAATCTACTTGGAAGTGACAACTAAGTGAAAGAAGAGTCGATGGGCAAATTTTATGGAAGAATGGCCCAAAACTTCAAAAGTTTATGTGGCGATGCTCGTTAAAGCTCCAACAAGCATCCACCTAGTTCAAGTAGCATAAAGCATTTGAGAGACTAGCGTATAATAAGGATGGTTTTTTCCTTCATCTGAAGGATCCGTAGGAACCAACAGGGATCAACACAACTCAGCCAACCACACACTAGAGTCAGAATCACTAGCGAGTTGAAGTAGCATAATGGATCAAAAGTTCGACTACTTAACAATAGTAGCAGAGAGCAGTTGGGAGCCAAGAGGCGTATTGCAGCTGGAGCAGAAGATTGAAGACTCGGCAAAGGTGAGGAGTTGCAACGTCGGCAAAGACTTCGACGAGGATGTCGAATGAATAAGTAGGGGAGAATGTCATAGACAAAATTCTAAATAGGATGTTTGATGTAATACTTATGTATGTCCATATCATTTGATTTGTTTATGCTCTGCACAGCATGTAGAAGGATAGTCGAAAGCTTAACAACCTCATTTTAGTTGGTTTAGTGGTTGTTTTAGGCTTATAAATAAATATTATGTCATGTGGACACTTGTGAGAGATATTCGATCTATAGTCGACCATTTTGACCCTTTGTTATGAAATCATTCAGAGCTTGTAAAATCTGTTTATAATTTGCATAGGCTATGAAGTGTTTTCTGAAATGTTTGCTTATGAATCCCGAGTGAGGTGCTTTGTCTAACCTGTTTTCTCTTTTGTAGGTCCTAAGGGACCATGAGAGATTTCAGGGAGGTTGACCTTTGCGGATGAACATGCAAGAGTGACACCCGACTTAGGCAAAACCAACTAAATCCATGACAGGACACACTTTGATATAATCTTTAAGATCTCGATTTAGTATTTTTACCTTTCGTTTGTCTACGACATACTTGGATTGAATTTGACCTATTTTCAAATTATATAAATAATTAGAATACGAGAGAATAATAATATTATCTTATATATATATATATATATATATATATATATATATATAGTCAAAAGTAACAGAATTATATATATTATGAATCTGCTACTTAATACAAAAATTGAAAAAAAAGCTATAATCACAGGGAGAACAGAATCAATTATAGAGAAAAAGTATGCCAAAGAAACACAAAAATAATAAGAGCTAATGTTCCTACTAGTTGAATTTTTTGTCATTATTGAGCTCTATATAACATAATATCCCTAATTAAATTAAGAGCATCTGTATCTTTATTTATAGTTTTTAGTAAATTTTTTACAAGTAAAATAATATGGAATCAGAATACAAAAACACCAAAACTAAAGATATCATTTTCAGTCCAATAATTAGCATGTGATTCTGGTAAAATGCTGTGGCAAGCTTCAAAGTATGGAAACTCCAAAAAGTGCATCCACAACATCAAAGTTCCTTCTATTTGATGTTGGTAGTGACATCAATTTCTTGCACTTAATATCTAGTTATATAGCTGTTGGACATAAGAATAGTATTTATGGTATCTGAACCATTGGCCATCAGTTCATGCAGTTAACATCATTCCAATCCAAACACTTTCACAAAGACAAATTTCACAGTAATGACCATCATTATGATTCTTCTGTTCTCATATTATAGAATGATCTCTGATTAGAATCTTTCATGAATTGTTCTGATTCATGAACTAATAATAGAATGATATGATTTCATGTAGTATTATTGCACATTCCATTGCTTTCTTATGAGAACAGATTCATACAGAGAATAATCATTCTTCTTGGGCAAACAATGATCAATTGATTCACAAAGATAAGTTCATTCTTTTTACTGTATGATCTGTCGAAATCTATTGTTGTTGGAAGTTAGGCGTCGTCTTCAATCAAGCTTGAATCTGAAGCAAGTAACAATTAATTGGGGACACAATCCTCATCATCACTAAGAACATCAACACTTTGGTGTCAGCTTCTCACAAGATCCAAAACACATCTGTTCCTTGAGGAGGAATAAGCTTGCTTTAATCCAAAGGTGATGCAGATCTGAACATATCTAATGCCCAAAGTGAATGCATATTTGTGCTTTTTAGATAAGATGTGATAACATCTTCCATTGAAGACTATCAAGCTGCAATTTTCTTTTGTGCACATCATCCAGGACCTCTGCAGCAGCTGGCATCTCTGAGCAAATCTTCACATATCTTCTTACAGAGATACATTGCCTTTGGATTAGGATGAACTGATGTATGAGTTTGATTCTATAGCTAAGAATAGCAACAAAGATGAGCATTCTGTACTCAGTTGTGATCTTGCAAATCTACAATTCTGTGCCAGAAATAGATTGACAGCAAACACATTCATTTGGTATCTCAAAATCTTGTCACTGTCACTTCCCTATCCAACCATGAAGAGCATTTCTTTCAGCAAAAGCTTATTCCATCACAGAATAATTCGAGTGTGAGCTTTTGTCAACAAGGATCTCATCCCCCATATTGGAGAAGGCAGAACCACTGCTTTTGTGTTGGCATTGGCTTCTATCAGTATCCTATCCTTCCATCAGCTCAAGCCAAATGCTTGAAAGATACATATTCTTCTTACACAGGGAAAGAAAAAACATATCCCATATTGATCTTTGAATGGTGACAGAATTCTTCTTCTTCCTGATCTCCTCAAAGTAATGCTTCTTAGCTTTGGGATTCTTTGAGCCAGTTGCTCAGTGTCCATATGTACTGACAGCATTAGAGTGCATTCAGCCAAATTGCTCAGTGGCAATTTTAATTGATTGTGTCACATTTTATTCTCCACAAAAAAAGAAAAAAAAAGTAGTTTTGTATGTTTTTTTGTCCTCTTAATTATATTTTTTAAGTGTTAAAAATAGAAAGAATAAAAAGGAAAATGAAAGGAGAAGTCGACAGTTAATACTGTTGGCGACGGGAAGTGGCGAAGAGGTGACTGTTTCGCTCCACCACCAGCTTAAGTATCTTATCGTGATTCCTTCCTTCGCGGATAAGGCCCGATCACAGCCGTCCGTTGTGTGAATAACCAGCGAAGAGGGAGAGGGGAGAACAGAGAGCGAGGTTGGATCGGAGAGTCTCGATCGAGATGGCGCATGCAAGGCGGCAGACGGGGACGGTGATCTGGTTCAGCGGCGCCAAGGGCTTTGGCTTCATCGCGCCAGACGGCGGCGGCGAGGATCTCTTCGTCCACCAGAGCGCCATCCGGGCCGAGGGATTCCGGGCGTTGTCGGAGGGTGACGCCGTCGAGTTCTCCGTGGATCAGGCCGATGACGGCCGGAGCAAGGCCGTGGACGTCACCGGGCCCAATGGGGCGGCCATCTTCCTCGGCGGCGGCGGAAGGGGTGGTTCCGGCGGCAGGGGTAGGGCCGGGGGCGGCGGGTATGGGTATGGAGGTGGCTATGGGGGTAGTGGGTATGGGAGAGGGTGGAGGAGTGGTGGAAGAGGTGGAAGGATGGGCGGTGGCGGCGGCGGCGGCGGTGGTTATGGTGGGGCCGGTGGTGGCGGATATGGTGGTGGTGGTGGTGGTGGTGTTGGGCCTTGTTACAACTGCGGGAGAAATGGGCATCTAGCTAGGGATTGCAGACAAGGAGGAGGAAGTGGTGGAGGAGGCGGTGGAGGGGGAGGGAAGTACGGCGGTTATGGTGGTGGTGGTGGTGCTGCTGCTGGTGGAGGAGGAGGTGGATGTTACAATTGTGGAGAGCATGGCCATTTTGCAAGGGATTGCCCCAACGTCAATTGATGGATGGCTTCATGCACCCACAAAAAAGGGAAAAATAAGAAAAAGAATGGTTCTTGTTCTCCTAATTGATGGTATGTTTTCCCTTTCTTTTTCTGGTGAGCTTTTTTTTGAGTTTTGCTGATATTGATCCGTAATGATGTCCATTTCTTGTTTTGATTTAACTATAAATTCACATCGTATGTATCTTCAATCATGTGATTAATGAAGTTATTGTTCTTATTAACCGAGCTTCCCCAATTGATCTCCAACTTTATGTGATGTTTTGCTTTGTGTACAAGTCGAAAGATTCTCGGTACAGGCAATTGCCTGTTCTGACATATAGTGGCATGCAGCTTACCATATAATTTTGCCTGCTCTGACTGTTGTCCGTTGTTGCCTGCTTAGAGAAAGGAGGATTAGCAGTAGATGGTGAAGAGGTCACGCAATGTGAAGAAAGAGAAGAAAAGTAGAGAGTAAAAGAAGAGATGAGGATGGAAGCAATCAGAAGAAAGGAAAGTGTGTGACACTGAAAATAGTTATAACTTTATTAAGTTCTTTTAGATCTTTAGATGTCATGCCTAACAGTATGATTCTTATTGCACTTCACACTCCAGATCTGAGCCCCAGCAACATAAATTTGGGCTTTATATGTCATATGAAGAACTTTTGTATCTGCAAACTGCATACTTTTACTATCTACTACTACTACTACAATAATCACTTGTTGCTAATGTAGTATTACTATTCTATTGTGCAAGAATTCCTGCTTTTGTGTTTAACCATGCATTAGAGTTTCTGTCAGCCTGAGATATCAACTAGGCAACTTATTTTGGAGCACTTCTTTATCTTTTGGGCTCTACAACAGCATTAGATTCGCCTTTAATTGCATTGTCCTCTAGCAGAAAAACATTACCATGACTGTTGAAAACTCCATTTCTTTTTTACATTTTTCATCGAAAAAATGAGTATCCAGATTTTGATAATAGTACAGAACCATCCAATATATCAGATAATAGCTTTCTTCATGTTTTGTGCTTGTTTAGAAGCATGGTCCATATTGTTGTCAGATATCTTTTCTATAAATATAACATTTTGTTTATATATGTGTTTTCTTCTTTTTCCATCTGACCTCTCTTCTCCAGTTCCTTGCTAGAATATTGTTGGTCCTACAACAAAAAATGTAAGGTTTTCATGTTAAATTGCATCTTTCAGATGCTACTTAAATGCCAAAATGCATGTAGATCACTAACCATGCATGCATATGTCATACTCATACCTTAGAGAATCCATCAAGTAATTTTTAACTTAATGAGAATTTATTGTCATGGAAGGAAACTTTATGCTGCAGCTTGTGAACACAGAACCATATTTGTTGTCCAAACTATACGATTTGGTGCATCATGGCCTCATGGATGCCCAGAGTATAAATTGCTGAAAGTACTGTTGGGCTAAATATTTTCTTTCCTGTGGCTTATTTAAAGTGATGCTCCAATTGCAACAGGAAATGATGACAAGTAGCATTAAACTAAAGCATAAATGTTTCCAGAATGAACTGGCAAATTATTCGATGCCGTTGCTTCTGTGAAACTTGCCCCACAAACACTGGTGAGAGAATATGAAGTCTGATAGCTTAATCAACATATAAGCTTCTCCTCTCTGTCTTCCCTTGGTGATTAAAGGGGAAGCCAAGAAATACTTACTCTGATCCATATCCAGCTGAAGGGAATAATTTGTGTGCAGTAACTTGTGCTTATATATACAGTGGAGAAACTGTGGATTGCCCTTTCTATGCTGTAAGGAACATCTTCCAAGCAGAAGCTTTGGTTAAGAGATCATGCTGAAGAATATGGCCTTAACCTCAAAAGGCTACTCAATACATTTTTATTCTTTATGGATTATATAAATTTCAAGTAACTGTTCTGTTTTATATGTTATTAGCTGCAAGATTGAAGACTTCTTGTTTGGTATTTTGGTGGTGTTGACTGCAACATTATTGTCTTCCTTTATATGAAATGAAGACAGAAATGGGGTAAAGACTGGATCTTTGGTTGCCGGTTCAGCTCGAGGTATCTCTTCTTCCTTCGGCTCGAAATCAAACAGGAAGGGTAAAGGGAATCAGGACAATTGGTAGAACAGGTCAAACTCTGTGAGAGGAAAAAAGATGGCTACACAATACTTGATGAGAAATCAAGTTCTCTTGTGTTTTTTACTTTGATAATGCAATATACTTTGATGGTTACTGAGATGAATTCATCTTTTGATTAAAGAGTTTGGAATTTGCATCAGGGGACAAAGTTGAGTATCTTTCTTTGAAGAAGTCATTGATAAACCTTTATGCTTTCGAGTCCCTCAGCCTCTATCTGCATCATAATGGGTGTACACAGAGACAAAGATTCCATGCGCAACTATATATTTCTTTGCTTTGCATCACATCAGGCATAAAATATTTGTGAGATTCGGCACTATGACTTAAAGATGAGATTTAGTGCTATTGAGTTTGGGTTGTGCGGATTTGAATCCAATAATAGGTTAAATAGATTAATTAGATTGAAAATTGTAATTGTTCAAACCTAATTTTGGAGATAATTATATAAAATATGATTTTTTGCTTTTTTATTGATATTATTGACTGGAAAACCAACGCATGCAATTTTCTCAAGGCGGATGACTTATAACGGTATGTAATTTTCAATATAAACACTATACCGGTTTTCTGTATATTATAACGGTTCTGAGCAATCGTATAAAGCGATCCGTGGTTCATGCCCCCCGACCTCGTTACAGATTGTGCTCTCTCTCTCTCTCTCTCTCTCTCTCTCTTGGGCGATTCTTCATCGCAGCGTGAGAGATGGCGGCGGCGACGGCAGCAGGAGGTGGTGGGAAGGTCTCGTTCAAGGTGATCCTGACATCCGATCCGAAGCTACCCTACAAAGTGTAAGCCCCGTTTTCGCTTTCCAACTGTCGTCGCCCTCTTTCGATTCCTAGGTTGTTCTCCGCTAATCTGTCGATCGGATTTCAGTTTCAACGTACCTGAGGCGGCGCCCTTTACTGCGGTGCTAAAGTTTGCGGCAGAGGAGTTCAAGGTCCCTCCTCAGACCAGCGCCATCATCACCAATGGTAAATTCTTGTAGATTGTGATTCTAATCCTAGGTTGAAGAAACAGGTTGAATTTTGGCAGGCTTTGATGATTGTGTGAGAATCGTTAGATCTGAAGGTTCCCTTTCGTGTTTTCCAAGTGATTTGTCTATTAAGTTTCGGCACAGTTGCGGCCTTAATGCGAAATTAGACTTTAAGTGGAAGTGCTTTGTGTAGATTTCTACATTAAAGAGTTCTTTTTGTGGATGCTAAACAAAATGAAATATAGCTGTGGAGAATTTCTGTTCAGCTTTTTCTTCCGCTGCAATATAATGGATTGGAAATATTTTCTTTGGTAGATGTAAATGAAACCCACACAGTTTCTAGCTTCATGTCGACAATAATAATTGTACTACATTTTTCATAGGATTTATCTGTGCAGCACGTGAAATTCATGAACTTTTTGCCCTTTGCAGATGGTGTGGGAATTAACCCGCAACAAAGTGCTGGTATGTTGTGACCATCTTGACCTTTCCTTATCTGTCGATAGTTTATGTTTCCTTCACGATTGTGCAATTTTTTTGTGACACTTTCACCTTGGCCAATGATAGTTGAAAATTAGCTTTTCATATTTTTTGTTGAAATCCGGCTTCAGGCTTGCCCATATATCAGTGTTTTACTTGTAGTCAAAGAATGATAATTTTAATGTTAGGAAGTATTTTGAGGTAATGATTCTTAGAATGCAAGAAGTGATACAAACAACGATGAATTATATCTTTTGGTTCTTTCTAGTTTGGACAGGTTTAGGATATTAAAGTTGGTTTACATATTGTCACATCTGAGATCTTGCAAAACTAGCAAGGTATCTGTGTTGTTGAAGGTTTAAGTAGGCACTTAAAGTGTATTTTTACTCCTAATCGTATATATAGCAAAATTATGTTAGCTTGCATAATTATTGAGTTTAGTGGTGGATTAGACTCACAGTTCTATGTCTTGTAATGGCAATCCAAAATAAGGGAGAGAGCTTGATGATATTTGATCCGTTGATCTTTACTTGTACTTTCGACTAGTATGTCAGTTGGATGATGGATGTTAGTTACTATAGGGAGGACAAAGAAAATAACTATCGTGGAGCTTCAAGACAATTGGTCAATATTCTCTACAAAGAGTGGAAATTGCAAAAGTAAATAAATGACCCAGCTCCTTTTAATAGTCTCTGTGCTAAGATGAACATACAGAAGATATGATATTTGATACTACTTGTTTACTTGGCCAATTTGTGTTAGTCTTGTTTTCAGTTCACACTTTCAAGTAATTCACAACAAAGGCCAATCTACATATACCTTCATAATTTGTCCTTTTAGTCTGCAGGAAAATTTATTTATTTGTTTCAAAAAAATATAAAAAATAACAAGCTATCAAATGGGCAGACCATTGAAGTTTCATTGTGGCGGCATAGTTCACAAGATCAGTTTCATTATTGGAGTTGGTTAGTGACGATTTGAGAAGAGATATTATAAACAGTCATTTCCTTGTATATGGACACTTTTGTGAGTTTTAGTTGTTCATTTGTTCGAACTGATCATTTTATTTAGAGTTAATTTGTTTGCAACTTGTATGCGGAAGGACACATGACTAGACCTTTCAAAAGAACCTGCAAGGATTATTCTACCGATCAAAGCTAAATAAGCAGCATTAGTTTTATTTTCTCTGCTTAATACCATCCTGATTAGTTCATTTCTTTTAGTATATGGAATATGGAACGTTGTTCTAGAGAGTGTAGGATTGAGGCACTGTAATTGCTCAACTCGTGTGCAGACAAATAACTGACACTTGATTGATAGTCTTAAGCATGTGAGGAATCGAGACCGAGGAATTGGCACTTCAAAGTGATATTTTCTTAAATATAAAGGTTGCCGTTACTTGATTTGTTGAACTGTTCCGGCGTCACTCCGCTGACCCTTCAAAGAGGATCACATCGCCATTTGGTTCTGCAACCCCCTCGCTTGAAGTTGTTCTTTCCCTTTTTTGCTCCCAGAAGCTTGATTTTTCTTGTCACTTGTCATCATAATTGGCATTTCCTGATTCACACAAGAAATGTGATTTTGGGACATCAGATCATTATACACATCTGCTATTCAATATGCTTTATGCAGGTAATGTGTTTCTGAAGCATGGCTCAGAGTTGCGTCTCATACCTCGCGACAGAGTTGGAGGGAGCGTATCGGACGGTTACTGCTACTAATTTTTCAGCACTTTGGAGTCTGCCTCTGCGACTACGAGAGGTTAAAAGGCATCAATCATGTGGTAACTATATCATGGGTGCTTGTAAAATCTAGCGTAGAATGATTTCCAATATTTATGTATTGGATTATAGTAAGAGTTGAAAATGCAACATGAGCCTAATAAAAATAACTCTTTACCTGATCTGTTTGATTGATTTATTTTTGAACAGTAGTCAGAGCTCCATAGGTAAGCAATCCTTTTCTTGTCCTTGCTACTGCAACGTGCTGCTAGTCAACATTATGGCTATTCTTTATAATTTTTATTTTTATTTAAGTATTACTTCTTTTTGGTAACATCTGCATATTTTCACTTTCATTATAATATTTTTCCACGTTTATCCCTATCTTGCATAGTATTATTCTATTTAATGAGTGTTTATGATAGCCAGCTTCACCCAACCTGCACACGTTGATCTCCTTCCTATTAATCAACTCGATAGGCACAACTTGCATTCTGAAGTCAACAATTACTCTTTTGTTTTTTGTGATTTAGAAGAAGAAATAATAATTATAATAGTAATGATATCTACTTCATATAAAATAGTAATAATAATAATAATAATAATAATGTTAGTTCCCATGACATCGTCCACGTACGATCATGCATGTGCATGACCTGTCGGCAATGGTACGGCCATCTTGGCTGACCTAAGACCGGGGGTTCATTACCCAAAATCCGACCCATGTGAGGCCTCTCTCACACACAAACCTGGCCATGTGGAGCCCATGGGTTACATCAGGGTTAATTGAATTTCCTCGATTAATAATAAGAGCCTTATTTTAGCGTGCTCTGATGTCATGCTGAGACTTTAAATTATATAGTAGTCCAGTCCACAAGCATAAGAATCAATATCGAGATCATCGGGTCCCCGTCGGCCCGGACAAATCGTGGCTTGATGCTTTAACAACCGTGCGTAATCAGCCCATCATGTGGGCTATCCTTCGTCAATCGCCGTCACTATCCGCTCCATCACGAACGATTCATCGCTTCCACGTGTCTTATCCACTCGTTTTCAAGGAAGATATTTCGTGACGCCAGGAATTGAACGGTCTACGAAATGAGATATGGACCAACGTATGGGTCCCGCATCGTTTTGCCCAACCACAAGTTTGGTAGGGGACTTGAGTCGGCGAATGCTGCTCGTGTAAAAAGGCGGCGGACGAGTCGCGTCTTGTCCGAGCTCGGCCGCTATTTTGTACTGCTACTACCCGTCTTCCCTCTCGCGTCGTTCGCTTTTCCCCTGTTATGAGTCGAAGGCAAGTCTTTGGGATAAATATGTCCAAAGTATTCCTCGCACCGCGTTCCTTTGTCCTCACGCTTTCTTCTTCCTCCTCCTCTTCTGGATCCTCTTCTTTAGAGCTTTCGAAGAACTCGTGATCTTTCACCTCCGATCGACCAGAAAAAAGGCGTCTACTTTCGTGTTCTTGGGGTCTGACCTTGGCGGGAGAGATAATGGAGAAGTACGAGCTGGTGAAGGATATCGGGTCGGGCAACTTCGGCGTGGCGCGGTTGATGAGGGACAAGGTGACGGGAGAGCTCGTCGCCATGAAGTACATCCCCAGAGGCCAAAAGGTCCGGTTTTTCTTCTCTTTAATCCCCTGCTTTTGGTGGTGGATGTCGTCTCACTTTGGGTCTCGCAGATCAACGAGAACGTCGCGAGAGAGATCATTAACCAGCGGTCGCTTTGCCATCCCAATATCATCCGATTCAAAGAGGTAAATGTGTCGGCATTAGCAAGTCCCTAAAATTGCCTCTGCTTAGCCTTTCATCTCTCTGTTTCACGACCAAAAAATGGTTCTTTTTTGCTTGTCCTGACCGTGATTTGAGCTGCAGGTCGTGCTGACGCCCACGCATCTGGCGATCGTGATGGAGTACGCCGCCGGCGGAGAGCTCTTCGAGCGCATCTGTCACGCGGGAAGATTCAGCGAAGATGAGGTTCCTTGTTCCCTCCCCCGTTGCTTTTTCTTCGGCCTCATGTTTCTGATTTCCTCCGCAATTTCGCATCAATCGCTGTCTCTGACCTTTCAGCTGTCGCTTCCACAGGCAAGATATTTCTTTCAGCAGCTCATCTCCGGCGTCAGCTACTGCCATTACATGGTAAATTCCCTTCAAACTCTCATCTTTATCCCAAATTACTGAACCAATCGGTTGTTTTCAGCAAATCTGCCACCGCGATCTGAAACTGGAGAACACGTTGCTCGATGGCAGCCCGGCGCCGCGCCTCAAGATCTGCGACTTCGGTTACTCCAAGGTTATCCATCCTCAAAACCTCTTCCCCTTCGCCTCAGAGCCAAATCGATTCGAATTTTCGAGTGAAGATCCCTTTTTGCATTCGTTTCTTGCATGGAAGAGCAGTCGTCGTTGCTCCACTCTCGCCCCAAGTCCACGGTGGGTACGCCGGCATACATCGCCCCCGAGGTGCTCTCCCGGCGTGAGTACGACGGCAAGGTCAGTTCCGTAATTTGATCCATCCATCGCTCTCCTCTGTTCCTTCCTCTATTCTTCCTCCTCGTGTTGCGCCGCAACCAGTACGTTGACGAGGCCCGACGGTGGCGGAGAATGGCGTGTGGGGCCCTTTTGGCTGACACTTGGCTTCCAGAGAATACGGATTCCTGTGATGAATAGCTTTCCATTCTCCCTTATGATTTCGCTTTTAGTAAATTGGCAAAGCAGATAGACATCATTGCCGGTCGGTGCAGATGGCTGATGTGTGGTCATGTGGAGTAACATTGTATGTGATGCTGGTGGGAGCGTACCCATTTGAAGACCCGGACGACCCCAAGAATTTTAGGAAGACCATGGCGGTATTAGCTTTATCTCCATCATCTCATTCCTGTCATCATTCTTCTGGTCTCAGTTGGACTGTCTTCTTCGATTGCAGAGGATAGTTTCAGTGCAGTACAGAATACCCGAGTACGTTCATATTTCCCAGGATTGCAGACAACTGATATCCAGGATCTTTGTTGCTGACCCATCAAAGGTAAATCCTGAGTACAAGTTCCAGTGGCATCTCAGATCACTGAGTTGGTCTTTGTGCAGAGGATTACTGTGAGGGAGATAAGGAACCACCCTTGGTTCTTGAAGAACTTGCCCAGGGGACTAACAGAGGTAGCACAAGCAATGTACTACAAGAGGGATGCCAGCGGACTTGCCTACTCTCTTCAAAGCGAGGAGGAGATAATGAAGATTGTTGAGGAGGCAAGGATCCCGCCGGCGGCGTCAACACCATCGACGGCAGGCTCGGGTTGGGCCAAGGAAGATGAGCAGGAGGAGGGCAAGCAAGAGAAAAGGGAGACCGAAGAGGAAGAAGAAGAAGAAGAAGAAGAAGATGATGATGATGAGTATGAGTATGACATGAGGGTCAAGGAAGTGCATGCCAGTGGAGAATTTCCAATTATATGTTTGGATCAATGAGAGAATCTTCGTTGTCTTATATGCTGCTAATTAATCTTATTGTACTGTTTATATCGATGAATGTTGATATGTTTGCAACAGATGAAATCGATCAAGGTATGGTAGTCTTAATACCAAATGTTGTCTGATGCTTTGGAATGCTTGACCACAGCGATCATCTCCTACCTTGAACACAGCAGTAATCAAAATTAATGGCGTTGCTCGGTTCTCAGTACCTGTAGTTCTTGACGGACATCCCTTCTTTAGCTTCCGCCGATTCGCCTTCTCCTGTATACTTGCGGCGCTGAGCGAGGGAGTCGGCCTTGGCACGGACGAGGAGAGCATCTTGGGCAGCCTTTTCCTTCTCCGGCCTTCCTCCCCACGGCTTCAGGCATGTGTTCTGCAGAGCTCAGGCGTAGGAGGAGACATGCCATGGGTTGGGGCTCTGGTTCATGTGCATTCAAGTTCGAGGTTGCCTCCACTTCCGACCGCCCACCGGAGAGGAACTGTTCAAGAGTGCATGCAAGAGCATCGATCATCATCACCTGTGTTAGGGAATCTAATGCAAAGATCACGATGATGGTTTAGTGCTGTAGCATGATGCCAGGAGCAGCTGGTGGGATTCTTCTGTGCGGGAGCTTCAAGGTGTACTCGGCAACCTGTTCCGGTGTGGCTTTCTCTGTGCATTCAGCGCCAGGGGTGAGAGGAGGACACCCTCGAACATGACATTGTTCTCAGCCAGGTGGAAGAAGACCTCAGCCCACACTTTCTGTACCACCTCGAAGGTCCTTTCGATTCCATGGCTTCCATCAAGCAACATCTTAGGCTCAACAACTGGAACCAAGCCATTGTCCTCCAAAGAAATTGAGAAGCTTGTCGGAGTAGGCACCGACAATCGCGGTTTCCCCGTCCGAGGATATAATTGTCGCAATAAGCAAACAGCAAATATACATACAATTACAATCCTCGCAAATGAAGGAACTCTGTGAACCAAACAATTTTCCTCTATGGTAATTTAATTCTTCATATACACACAACACCCATATTTTCTTTAGAACAAATATACAATGAAGATAATTGACTGAGACTTGAGACTGTCCACACTGGACCAGAAGCATTTTAATGAAATAAAGTTCCAACATTACGAAACTCGATAACAACATTGTCTTCATTTTTGTGTCAATCCTCGGTATCAGCATCAGAAGGGAGCCAGTATCGCCATACGGCACCAAGGGAGCTACCCATGATGTTCATGATAATAGCCGATAGCGCAGGCGGCAAGGCGACCAGCGGGGAGGAAAAGTGCGAAGTCGCTAAGACAACACCCAACGAACAGTTTTGCATACCGACCTGAGTGTGAAAAAGGAACCATAATATTCTAAGAAAGTTTGGAACTATCATCTTTATGTGCCTATTTGCATGAAGGATGATAGGATGGTAGAATAGTAACAACACTAGTGATAACTCTTCGATTGTATGCACTTAAGAGAAAAGAGCTCATCTAGTAACAAAAGTCGGCAAGAATGGTAAACATGCATGAATAGTTCCTACTAACAATCTACAAGTTGGACTTGAGTGCCTTTAAAAGGTTCATATTAACTTAATCTACAAAGTGAAAAGCTTTATTTACACTAAATGTTCGGAAGCTAGAGATTAGAAATTGACTAGGTGAATGTTCTGTTCTCAGATGAACAGATACCTCGATTGAGATTGCTCGTCGCTGTTTTTCTCCCATGCCACACATAGCTGCTGACAGGTATCTATACAAAAAAGCATACACATACTATCAGAAAGGATTCTAATCGTCTTTACTATGTTTAAGAAATTATCTTTTCAACTGGTTAAATAAATAAATAAATAAATAAGAAAATACATCTCCTGCTTGATGATAAAAATTTTCTGATGTATAATAAGCTTGAGGGAAAATCCATACCCCAACAAAAAGCCTGCAAAATGTAATAAAAACACTGCAAGTATCACAACACCCATATCTCCAGAAATTATGTCAGAACCACCAGAACCATTCAGAGTTGATGTTCTAAATCGCACAACATTTTCCGAGAACACACTGCAACATCCGAGAAACTTGTGTGAAGGACAACATGCAGATAGAAAAGAAACAAGAAATAGGCAACTAAGCAAATCTTCTCATCCCAGACCTGCTTGAGAGAAGCGAAGAAGCTAATACAGCAAGAAGGGGAGCAAATGGGATGATGGCTTTCACGATAGCTGGAAATGCACTTTGCAAATAAGATCCCAACAGAACCGGAGCAACAACTACCTAAAAGCAAAAAACACATTATTCCTGACGAAGGAAAAAGTAACAAAAAGAGATCGATGAACTGTTTGAATTTTACCTGGAGAGTACTGATGGACAGTCTAATGACATCCACAGACACAAAAGTTCCAGCAAGAATTTTGGTTAAAAGAGGAGTAAGAAGTACTGCAGCAAGGGTGGTGCATACAGTCATCACGATGGCTAATGGCACATCTCCTCTAGCAATTAATGTCACCTGCAACACTATTTGAAAGAAGGATATTAAAGAACAGGAGAATTTTTAAAACCTGGGACTTCTCATCAGGTGATATATTTTTTTTCCTGAAATGCATAATTTCCTAATTTTATGCAACCCATCTACATCAGAATTACTTTATAGCAATATTTAAGGGAATAAAAAAAACTTGGATTATAGGAAAGATCATACACATGGGGCATCAGCATTGAAATATATAGGAAAATGATGATAGTGAAAGAAGAGAGGATAAAGAAGTTAGCAGTCTTGAGTTCATGAATCTTCTTCTCGCATAAAAAGAGCAAGAATGCTTTTGGTATTATGAAAGTTTTGTTACTGGATCATGAGAAATATGACAACAGTTTTAAGTGAAGAATCAGAAAGTAACTCTAGGTAAGAGCATTTCATTGATCTCGTCCAGAAATGAAATGACTTACCACATTGGATGCAGTTCCCGCAGGACAACAGGCGAGCAGAATTAGACCTACCGAAAGAGATGGTGGAAGACCGACTGCTTTGCTCAGTATAACTCCAAAAGCTGGCATAATTGTGTATTGAGCAACAAAACCCAACAGTATCTACAAACACAAACAGAAGAGAAAACAGTAAGAAAACATTTAAAGGGATGTCTTATCCATGAGTGCAGAAAATAGGTGGTGAGCAATCAGATAAAATCCATATTAAGCCAAGTAGATTCCGAAGATCTTAGCAGGATTTATTCTCCTATATCAGCAACTACAGAGCCCACAGAAGAGAAGTTCTTCAAGTCATTTCTTTTCCAGATTAACAAACAAGCAGTCACCATCCAACTACACAAAGAAGACCAAACAACATTTTTACTCCTCAGAATTCACATTTTGAGGCTAACTAGAAATCCAGCAGCAATTTTAATATCTCTCAGACGGTTGAAAGACGATATTGTCAGACTTCAGCAATAGCTGCTTGTCCTCTTCCAAACATTAATATGCATTCCTACAATATCATTTTTCTTGAATTTTCTTGCCAAGTACTCTTGAACATGACCAATTCGTTGATATGGTGATGTGATACTTGGATCGATAATAGGTTTGACTTTGGACTACTCACAAAATTGTCAAACTCCAAACCATATTGCAAGTAGTAATCCTCTGATGTATCGCCGGGACCAACTAAAACGAACACATCACATCATTACATACTTTACTTGTCTGAATTTATACACAGTTGCGACTCTCAACCAAAACATAAGCTCTGGAATGACACCGTGAGTCAACTTAAGAGATCCATCAGGATCCAATTTAAAGATAAGCATTCGAGAAATTCCCTAACACAGATGAAGAATAAATCTTTTCAAATTAGACATCCTGAATTCCAAAAAAAAGGAACATAGAAGTCAAAAGAGTTTGAATATTTTATGGTTCGTCCAATTATTCCTTTGTAATTACTCACAGAGAAAGGCCTTTCCCGGAAGAGTGCGAACAGGTCCTTCAGTTCCAGAGTGAGACCCGTAGCCAGCATGATAAAACCCAAAGATAAGCTATAAGAAGCCGGCCCACGCTTCACGAACCAAGAGAAAGCCGACGGATTCACGCAGGCGACGGTCCCTCCGATGGTCACATAGAGAGGGTAGAGGCTGGCAGCGGTGGTGAGAACCTTCTTCCATCTGCGAGACCTCGGGTCGGCTTGGTCCGGGATGCCGGAGAGGGCTCTGACAGTGGAGCGCGTCGGGCGTCGATAAAAACCGCACCTTGGAGGAGCTCGGTGGAGGAGCAGATTGGGGCGGGATTGATGGGGGAAGACCAACGACCGGAAGCAGACGATAGACATTGGAGGTGACGGGAGCACTGGGAAGCAGCAGAGGAGCCGACACGTGGGGCTTTTGTAGTCCCCGGGCGCCTTGGAGATAGTGTCGGGCGTTATCGGATCCGGGTACCATCTATCGTCAACCCGATCCGAGGAATGGACATTTGATGACGTGCATGACATCGTTCAGTTTAGAAACCTTTTAATCGGTTTGACATCGATTTTGATGGATATAGGAAGTCAACAAATTAGATTTTCAGATACTATTAAATTAAATTAAAAATGATATTACATAAAATAAAATATGCATAGATAAACTGACTCGAATGCATTTAGAATTGCATCTCGACAATCTTGAAGAGAGATTTGCTTCCTCTTTTTTGTCACTTGACTGGATTACTTTGTCCATACTGGGAATTATGCATCAGTATAAGCTTTAAACCTTTAGCAGCCTCGGCTGCTTTCCCTACTGTTCTTACAGGTTGACGGAGGAGGGGATTGTGGAGCAGACCAACATCACTCGACGAACAACGCCACGTCGATCCTCTCGGACTGCTGCTCCCCCAGAGAAACCTGTTGGAAAATGGATTCACGAGACTTGCGCGGAATTCCTTGGGAGTCTCGCATAGCAGCCCCTGCAACGCGCACAAACCCAAGTTTTAGCTTCACAGGGCGAGGAAGAAACCTCTCTATCCGAACTATATGCACACCTCTGCCATGGCTTTGATCTTCAGCGTAATGCTGTTGGATAAGAGGATGAATTGTTGGCCGTCATTCTTCGTTTTCTTGAACAAGAGCGCGCAGTCGAGGATGTGGTCTTCCGCGGTCGGAGAAACGATCTCAGTCAAGCTTCCGTAGGCGGAGAAGGATTTGGAGTCGGTGCCGTCGCCAAATGGTGATCGAGGTGAGGCAGGGGGGGTTGGCAGCACCGGCAGCGTCTCGGATGAGCTCTGAACATGAATCCACCAACTTGTGTTCACCATACACTCTTCTATCCATTGCAGTCCTTTGGATGCCATTTTTGTTGATTTGCTGAAGAGGCTCTCGCGCCGCTTGAGGCAGTCGAGTTCCCTTATGACTGCAAGACAAGAGAACAGCAGCTGATGTTTAGCTGCATAAAGATGTTAGATTGAAACAGGGGAAGAATCAAGCTGAGCTTACCGATTCGTGGGACGATGAGGTGAGTCCCCTTTAGGCCTTCGAGGAGCTGCAGGGACCTTCTTGATTCTTCATCCAGAAAGCAATTTGCTTCGACCACAATGTTCCAGATCTTCCTCTCTTCTGCTTTGGGGATCACTTCGCCCATGGGTTGTCTCTGCAACTAAGGATCGAAATCAATCAAACATTTGGCTGACAAATAAATTCATGCAGCAGCAGTATCTTACTAAAAACTTACGGAAGAGCGACTCGGTCCACATTCTGAAGTCGGAGCATCCTTGGTGGAAGCACAGTTACCCTCCGAAGTAGCATCGCAGCTTTTCGAAGCAGAAATCTCCAGCAGAGGTTGAAAGGGAATCCGTTCCACTCTTCTCTTCAAGATCTCCTTCTCAATTCTCGCACAGCTACTGAAGGAAGACTCCTTCGACTTCGCAGATCGCGAGATGTCGGGCGTCAGATTCTCCTTGTCTGAAGGAAACGTGTTATCATTGTCTTCAACCTTCATAAGAATTCCACCACACACTTTCCTCGATTTCATATGTTTACAAGAGTCTGGTGTCCAGTTCTCTTTGTCACCATAGAGCACATCTTCTTCCAACACACTTGAATTTGTGATGGAGTTAGAATGTAGTATCTGCAGATCTTCCTGATATTTCTTTGACTTCCCAGCACAAGTGCTAGATTTAAAGATGTTACACTTTACTAGGTTCTCAGAGGAGGCTTTTCTAGTCCTCAAGTCACTGAGTACCTCATGTTTGCAGTTGTCTTCTTGAGCTGGCCGAACCTTATCTGCAACATTAGAATGTTCTGCAACACACCCAGATTTCTGCAGAACCCTGCTGGTCCTCTTAATCTTTCGGCTTGACATTGGTGTTACGTTCTCCTTATCTGAATCAAAATGTTCTTCTCTATCTTGAGCATTTTCAAAGAGCACCCTGCAAAGTTTTTCCTCTCTCTGAGCTCGATCACAAACACTGTTGTTCTCTTTCCCTGTACTTCCTCCGACCTCTGCATCAGGTCTTGTATTTGTGATTTTCTCCTTGCCCCTCCCCGTCTCGATTCGAAGGAAGCCAACAGACCTCGACTTACTCCTCCTTGACAAGAGGCTTGACGGAAAGCTCCCCTTCTCGGACCTCTCCAGGCTCAGGTGGTCCCCCTCGAATGGTTGCTGAACAGCAGATAACACCTGAGGAGACGAATTCTTGTCCATGGTTGGCATCGAAGACACAACGAACTCAGGCATCGGCAAGGCAGCAAAGAGGCTTGAGCCCTCTGCTTCGAGTATTGGGCTCTGTTGTTCCATTGTGGCTGGCAAAGGTGATGGATTCATAGATTCCGGCAAAGGTGGCGCCGAAGGTATCACAGTAGGCCACATTTCGATCATGTCAGTTAGTAACTCCTCGCAATCATCCTGTAAAATCCCAATTGAAGTAAACGGTTTTGCAGAGATCGAAAGGACAGAACTTGAATCTAGGAGAAGTGAAAAGATCGAAAAACCTGATTGGCTTCTACCTTGTCTTCAACCAATGGCTCCAATGGGTTATCCATCTCAAGCGCGCGGCTTGATGAGACCCATTGAAGCCTGTAAACCCTCGTCGAGGCGCCGAGCCTCAGAATGTCGCCATCTACCATGTCGACCGCCACGTTGGGCGGGATCTTGGTTCCGGAAACCCAAGTCCCATGAACTGGATACCGAAGGGAACCGAATCAACCGCCGATCCCGAAACAATGAGAAGAAGAGGAAGAAGAAGAGAAAAATATCGGGAATTGGAGGAGGAGGACGCACCGGAGGAGAGATCGGTGACGGCAAGCTTCCGCAGCGAGGGAACGAGGCGGGCGGCGAGGTGGAAGCGGCTGATGCTGGGGTGATCGAGGACGACGTGACAATCTGGATGGCGACCGAAGAGGATCGGGAGGTCCTCATCGTCTACTTCTCCTCCACCTGGGTTAGGAATGTGGCCGCCGTCTCCGGCCGTCGTCGGATGCGGCGGATGAGGAGGGGGCAAGTTAAGGAAGAGGCGCTTTAGGATGCTGCCCTTCTTGAGGACGGAGAGGACGGCGATCTTGATCTCCTTCTCCTCCGATTTCGATCTCTCCTTGTCCCCCATCATGTCTTTCTTTCTTTCTTGTGTGTTGTTGATTCGGGCGTTTATTTAGAGAGGTGTTCGTGTGAAATGGGGATTTCAAAGCAGAGAAGCCCGTTGGCCGCCTCTCCAACGGCTACTTTGGTGTGACTGTAATGTTCCTTCGCACTTTGTCCGAATACTTGTTTCACCAAGACGTGCGATTGGATGGCCCACCGTGTCCCATAAGGAGCTCAAATCACAAAACAGGTACGTCTGCGGGTAACGTGATTCCTTACCCACGAGCGAGAGCGCTGCTCTATGTCCCGTCGTGAACGTTACGACTTACGTGACGACAGACGGCGTTTGACACATACGCCCTACGCTGACGTGGCGACACACCAACCTGTTAGAATAACGTATAAGAAGGCTCCACAGGCGGGCCCCACATTTGAAGGCAAGATTGATTTAGACTCAAATCTTGACCCAAATCTATCCGATGAAGAAGATGGCTTTCCTTTGTTTTCTTCCTTCTTCTTTCGTCAGGAAACTTCTTCAGTGGCTTTGCAATATATTCTTGTGGAGGAAAGAAAAGTTTGCTTTATCCTTCTCAAGTCAATCAAGAACAGCATCTTTACATACAAAATGAGAAGGAATCAATCATTTACTTTTCCTTTAAAGGAGTCATTGCAGTGCATGAATGTGGCACGTATGCTGAGGAGATTTAGACCTGAGGTATATCTGCATCCTCTGCTCTTAAATCTTACCTAAGGTCAAGGATTCTCCAAGCACACTGTATCGAGGATGCCAAGTCTAAGATTTCACAGTGGTGTCCTGCAAATCTTGGTTAGGTGGAATCTAACTTGGATGTCGTACTTATTTGAATCGACTGCAGTACTCAAGAAAAAAGGCAGCATGGGAACCATCTCTATCCCAACTACACACAGGAAAGAAATGAAGATATCATGATGTAAACAAAACATTTTCTTGATTTAAGCTCTAGATCATGACATGTTCCAAAGTTAGCTTGGTTCATTTTGCTCACATGTACCCAGATCACCTTGTGCATTTCCATGCAGAGACTGTGATTAGATTTCTATCTTGCAAACACAAAGACAGTGTTCTTCCATCATCTGTCTCTGAAATGCCAAACCCGCTGTTGCTCACATGCTCTATGGTCGAAAACTGGCCCTTAATCTTCAGCAGCAGCTTTGCTTGGCTCACCGACCTCGAACTCAGCTTCATTCCTTGGAACCCAGTGCTCTCCATCCTCCCCTTCCACGCACTTGTCTTCTCACAGTTGCAGGTTATGGCGCTTTTGATCTCTCTCCCAAGATGGTTCTTCTCGATGCTCAGCCTCCCCAGGCTGTCTGCTGGGAGACAGTCATGCAACGAGCGAAACATGGCTGCAAAGTAGTTCAAGGACGACTCCACAAACCTCGCTGAGTAGCCTGCGGGGCGTTGGCTAATTTCTTTCTCTGCTAAGACTACGACGGAGGGATTCAAGGAGTGGATGGACATCAATGTCGCGAGCATCTCAGACGAGCTCTTCATGGTCTGCAGATAGAAGACCAAGTTCACGGCAAGGGTTGCGTTCTTCTCGATCTTAAGGTCACTGGTTGTCGAGCCTCGCAAAAGCCCATTGTACACGAACTCCAGATTGCTGCAGCTCTTCGAGAAACCGACAAGCCTCGTTTCAGTGTTCTTGAGCTCCTCCGTGCTTCTGCCAAACCCTGTCAAGTGCAGAGATATTGGCTTACTCGTTGTAGCCTTGTCACAAAGGGATTGGATCAGAGAGGGCCACTGGAACCCGTAGGAGACGTCAAAATCGATCACATATAGTCTTCTGCCGTTTTGCTTCTCTTCCGCCTCGAAGGCTTCCACTATAGTCTGGTTGGCGGTGAAATGCGCGAACTGGTAGCACGGAGAAGCCCGGTAGAGCTCGGTGAAGCCCGTGAACTCCTCCTCCGGTGTCGGATGCGCCATGATTGATCGGTAGAAGGGGGAGCTATCTGTCAGAATCCTGGCAGCCAAGCCGTCGGCGAAGTAGGCCATGACTCGTTGCATCGGATGGCCATGCAGAGAAGCATGCTGGTACAGGTCGACTAAGGCGTCGATCGCTGCGTCTGCATGATCGGCGTCGATCGCTGAGGCGGCGAGCAGAAGCAAACGACGCAGTTGTTCGTCCGTCGCGTCTTCCTGCCCGCTTCGCTTGGGGTCTTCTCTCAGCATACGCTCTTTCGCTTGAAGCAGCACCAAGAACTTCCCATCATCTGCATCTTTCGCCTTCACATGGCATGCACCGAAACCGTCCCTCGCCTTCCTCTTCTTGATAGCATGAGAACGCCAAGCGCGGACGTTGTCGTCTCCTTCCATTCTCTGAAGTCGACGAAACTTGGGAGACATGAGGAGGGGGAAAGGAGAGGAGGTATCTTCTCCTCAGGTCATTTCTCTTTTCTCAGTTTCTGGAATTCTCGCGTCTTGGATTCCCAGGTTGAGACGGTGGGCTGCTTTATTCTCTTTGGTTGGCACCGCCTCTCCCCTTCTCTTTTCTCACTCGATCTGGTCTCAGTGCGTGCCTGACGGTGGCGACAAGGAGCGAGACAGGGAAGTGGTTGGAAGATTGGAATGGTTCAAAAGATGCCATGAGGCAGTCGGCAAGGAACAGAGTGAGGCGGACGCAGGAGGGCGGAATCATCACTTGGTTTGACACGGCTTGTCCTCTTGTCCCGTTTCCCAGAAGCGATCTCGTGTTCATTCCCTTCCTTTTGTTCCAGCATGACGCTATCAGAGGAAGAAATGTTACTGCCCAGGCTCTTTTCCCACATGCGGATCGGATCCGGAACACAGGATCCGATTTCTTTATCCATCCCGCCGATGTCGTGCTATAGTGTGACGAAGGTCCCTCGCTAACCGTCCATCGCTTTTTTTTCAAATCTGAACCGTCCATTATTTCGAGTAAAAAATAAATACAAAACGTTGATTTTGTCATCAGATAGGTGGACGGTTGAGATTATGGTACAAGATGAGATCAGACGGCTTTCTGCGGTTGCGATATATATCACAGCGTTTGCGTTCGTATGTGAGGAGGGCGAGAGAGAGGGCGCGGCGGCTCTGGAAGCGGCGGATGGATCTGTGAGGAGATGAGAAACCAAGCGAATTCTGATATCCGTGATGCATTCCACGATAGTTTTCAATCTGAGATCCGCAATCCGTTGCTCGAGCTGTGCGCCCTCCTCTCCTCTCTTCGGCCTGGTGATGGAACTTTTGAGTATTCTCTCTGAAGGCCGCTCCTTGTTCGCCTATTTCTCTCCTATGAGTTGTCGAGCTCCGGTCATGTTTCTGATGCCTGGAAACCCTAGTTTTTTCTTCTATTGTTATATCTCGTTTTCTCGTATCTTGCTTATTGCTCTTTTTTTGTGGTTCGAACTAGAGATTGCATTATGTTGGAGATTAATTTGAACCTTCTTTTGGTCTTTGTTGTCTGAAAAAACTAGTTAGTTACTTGCAGAGTCTAGAAGTGACTCCGAGATTGTAATCGGTCGTCACTACCCCAAATTTTGTGTTATTTCTTGGATTTTTCCCCATTTTGTACGGTTCTCTTCTTATTGTTGGATTTAAAGTTCTATTTGTTTGTATTATTCTTAATGTTTCAGAGTTTTGGTGGCTTTATACGTCCTCTTTTCACAGCTATACGATATGTAGATTCTATTCTTAATGTTTGAAAGTGTTGTTGGCTTTGATTTTGATACTCTGTGCTTTCTTTTGGGTTTAAAAGTCCAAGTTTTTTACTGAGATTTAAATGAGAAATCAAAGTTCGTGAAACAATAAATGGATTTTTGCTAGACATCATGGAAAAAGCTGCTGTACAGATTCATTTTTTCTTGCTTTACTTTCCATGAAGTGCCTAACAAATGGTGGAAGTATCTTCAGATGTCCCTATATGAGACTTAGTGAAACACAAGTGGATATGGAATACTTTTGTAGGGAGCTGCAAATTTGACTTGGGTCTTTGCATGCCTTGTGATTTGGAAAGTTATGGCATATGCTGTTTCTGCTACTAATACCACTAGCTACTGCTGTATTATTTTGACCAAAACATGGTTATCCAACAGTTAAAGAATTTTTATGTCTCAAATATCTGTTAATTTTAATATAAATTACTTCTTTGTTTTAATGTCACCAGAAGACCATAATCTGTACATATGCTCACTATTCTATGTTAATCCTGTCCTTAAGAATATAGATATGTCATTCCTTCTGATAAAGAAATCATTTTTAGTTATGCTTTCATATGTATTGGGGTCAAACTTTGAAATGCTGTGCCTATGAAATGCGAAGCCCAAGATTCGGTGATTTTTAGAATTGTGATGCTACTCAGCACTTTTTTTCGGTTATATTGATGCCTCTATAGCAGACACTTGCTTTCAGTGGCATATGGTAGCACCAGCGCCCATGGACATGCAAGTTTATAGCTTTCTAGGTGCCAGAGATTTTGTGAATATGGTCGTGATGCTTGAATTTGAGTACCTTCTGGTCAATGACATTTATGTATGTGGTTCTATTTGCTTATGACATATCTAGTATATAGTTCTATTTGTGTTGTTTGGCTGATCTTGCAAAGCTACTTTCATCCTGTGTGGAAGTGGTAGCATTTTTAGTTTATAGTAATCTCAAGATCAGTGCAGGTTTTTCAACTTGGCGAATATGTTCTTCATTAGTTCTTATACTTCCTTTTTGTTTACACTTTTTTTTCTTGTTTAAGATTTTGTTGATTTACCAGCAAAAAGCTTGCCCGAGTTCATTCATCAACGACTCTTTTATATTACTTAACTTTTGAAGTGCCTAGCCTTAATATTAGAGATGCACCCAATTTATGATTCATACCTTTGAGCATGATATATAGCTCATTTAGATGCTATTCAACTAATGCAACATGGTGATCAGGTGTGGTGCACCTGTTGATTTTTCATGGCTGCAACATGCTATGACTTGAGAAAAAGGAAAACTAGGAATCTATGTGCTTACAAGTGAAATGTGATGCAAATTGCTATACAACCTTTCTTTTTTTTCCTCAGTCGCAACTTGATGCATAAGACCTTGAGCAATAGACCTGTATAACTCAATTTTAAGAATGATATTTTCAATTGTAAGAAATCATACATCAAGAAAATGGTGGGACTTTCAACCATGGTCCCTCTTGTAACGACAGTGCAGTAGTAGTTGGCTGAATCCATTGAGAGTCAAGCCGCCATCGGATGTCAGACCATATAGATTGATTTTGGCAATATTTCTCTCTTTTATATTTGGTGATGCTGGATTGGGCCATGCAGATTTCCAAAACAAGGTTTAAAACCTTGATTTGAAATGGTTCTGTAAGATAGAAGTTTGTGTTGTTTGCATTGCAGAAAATGCCCCGGCAATATCCTCCTGCATCTCATTGTGTCTAGTAGGCCTGATCATATGTTTTGAATAGCTCATATTTTATGGCACTTGATATGATGTCTGTAATGGATGGTTAAATCGAGGATAACCGGGAAAAGTATGTCTAAAAGTCAACACTGTGGGGCTGATCCAGGAAAAGCAAACGATAAGTTTTGTATTCTGTTGTAGCTGTGAAAAGTGGATGCGGCTGAGACCAATTAGGTTGGCGTTGCTGTGCCGATTGCAGTCGACATCAAGAGGGAGTAGCATCTACCAGAAATCTTTGTAATATCTTATTCCTAGTGTCAAGTTCTTTTCATTTCAGCAAGACTGTTGACTTTGGTGGGTACTTTCTACCTGTTCATTGACTTCAGCTCCTGCTATGCAGGTCTCTATTGGGCAAAGATGGATTCACAGCGTGCCTTTGTTCCCCTACATGCATTACAGGACTACAGGAGATGATGAAGACGACTCGAGGCAGGCTGTGCTTCTGCCGAGCCCGCAAGGGGGCACCGTCGCCTCCATTTCAGAAATCGTGTTCTTGCTCAACTGTTTCATTTGTCCTTCCAATTGGGTATATGATCTGTAAATGATGGCTATCTGTGACCAAGCAGTTGCCATAATTGCTCTAATCATGGAGCTCAAGACAATCGCGTCGTGGAATCCACTTCCAAATAATTCGACAAGAGAATACATGTTCATTACCATTTATTTTTGTTTTCTATTATTTTGTTCAGTAACATTGTTCGAATGATAAATGAAATGATGAAAAGCTAAAGTTGAACGCATCAAATCATCCACAGGGTCCGGAGGAACTCTCAGATCAAATTTGGCAGCGGCCAACACCCGACCCATGAGACAAATCACCTGTCATCCCGGTACGAGACAAGCACTCCGCTGCGCCAACCACAATAAAAGCAGGGAGACCGAGATGAGAAAAGACAGAGAGAGAGAGAGAGAGAGAGAGGAATCTCATCGTCGCGGACGGTGACAACATGATATGAGAGGAGGTGGGGAGGTCAGAGGGGGCACTGTCCCTCCCCACGTGTCTGGCGTCGTACGGGTCTGATCGGAGATGTACGCCCGCCTCCCGGTGGCTTTGATGGGCGCGCAGCAGCGGTGGCGAAGCCTGTACGTAGCATACGGCGTCCACCTCCGCTTGATGCACACCACCTGTTCGCTCCGTGACCGCGCAGAAACCGGCACCAATCGATGCCCCGTTACTGTGAGTGCACTCTTTATCATATCCACCTCCTCCCTCTTTCATAAACACACCCCAACCGATACACAAGACAACGACAGGTTGTCATTATAGATCGCCTATTGCACCCACCGGCGTTGTGATTGGACGCAACATGCGGTCCCACATGGAGCCCAACCATGCCTTCGATCATAAGCTATGTAGGTGTTAGTTTTCTTTACAATCTTATGTTGACAGTAATTTGATCTTTAAAAAATATGTATATATAATTATTAAAATCTAGTGAAAGATTAGCATCAATCTCCACACCCATTAGAATGCGAAGTGGTTGGTCGTTGGGTGTCATAACTCAAAAACCAAGTCTCAGCTATTGAAATCAGGATCATGATGAGCGTCCATTCCGGCCTCCTTCAATCATAGAGCCATCGAGATAAGGTCAAACTTTGTGCACATTATTATTCTAGCAATCTAAATCATGGTCGATCATTAGTATATTTTCATACATCATACATCTTTTTCGAGAGTTTGTTGATCATTCCAACTGTATCCAAATAATACGAGATTTGATTCTTAGGTATGTTGAATTTTCTACCTTTTGTTGGAATTTATCTTTAATTTAGAGCATTTATGATAAACTCTAAAGGTTGCATTCTCCATCCTTTTTTTTACTTTGTTCAGTAAATGAATTATCTTAGATGATTTAATATATATATATATAATAAAAGTGACAAAAATAAGATTATTTTGGTAAGAGAAGGCTACAAAATTGCAGTCCCACTCGATGGGTTGCTGCGGCGGCTGACCTTTTCCTGAGGAGTTGGAGGTCTCAGTGCCCACACGTTTCCTCATCATGATAACCTGCAGATCCCCACATCAGTTCATAGCTCGTCACTGCTTCTTGGAGTGCAGACAGACGAGGTAACAAGCGTGTCTTCTTCACCTGCTTTTTAGTGTTCTGGCTCGGCTCTCCATCTTGAAGAGATTTCAGCTCGAAATGCTCGAGCATTTGAGGGTGGCGATCGGGCACCGCCGCGAGAGGTCGGTGATCGATGCAGAAGGAAACGCCAATGGGCATTGCATCGTTAGCCGAACTCACACGGCAAGCCATTTGCACGGATCACGAAGAGCAACACGGACTCCGAGGGCCGTGTCCTTAACGGATGACCATTTAGGATTTGGTCGTTCGGGATTAGTCTTCTTCCCAGCTCGGTCGTCTTGGAGATGAGGATGTTTGCCTACTTTTGGACGTGACAGTGAAGGCCCTTCGTTTCTGTGTTGCGTCCAAAGGTGAAGCCGCGGCGACGCACATCCAAGGCGTCGCAACAGATGATGCTTTTATCCTCCATTGCAGGATAAAAGCAGGACTTAGGTATGAGGAAGATTCCAAAAGACAGATTAATGCAACAGTTTACAAGGGCAGGGAGAAGCACACCAGAAAAGGATTATGAGTTCTCGGTCATCTAAAACCTCCATCTCTCTCCCTCTCTCTCTCTCTCTCTCTCGCGCGCTCTCTCTGCGCTTAAACAAACAAAGAATTACTACTGCACAGACGAATTGGATCCCTATACAAATCTTTGTCCCCCACTCTTGGAAGTAAGGTTCTTGAACTCACAACACTCAAGCAGAACGAAACAAAAACAAAGGGAAGGGGGAAAATAATGATAAGAGAAGTGGCAGTGTTCTTTCGCAAGCTGAAAGAACGCCGTCCACTAATTTGAAGGATTCTTTAGCACCCAAAGCTCACCTTGTGCGAGTCAAAAGAGAAGAAGAAGAAGAAGAAGAAGAAGAAGAAGAAGAAGAGGAGGAGGAGGAAAGGAACACTCGCCGTTGCTGGATTTGAAGCTCCAATTGGATTTTTTGTTTCTGCCTTGCATGCGTGCGTCCAAGGTTGCTCTTTGACATCCTATGAACCCTCCTCCTTCTACTACTGTGAACTGGTTTGGTGGTCCTCTCCGCTGGCTGCACCTTGGTGCTGCTGATGGGTACTGTGGGCTTGGTGATGGTGGTCCATTGGCTGGTGGTGTTCGGAATTCATGCTCAGGCCACCACCTCTATTGTATGCATTGAGGGCCGCGAGCATCCCGAGATTGGTTTCCGACGTTCCCAGTCCGAGATGCTGAGCCGCCATGCCGCCCGTGGGCTGCTGCAGCACCATCGATCCCAGCGGAAGAGCGCGGCCGCCTTGGAACTCGGCACCGCCCGATAAGTTTATTCGCGACATGAACTGGAGTGGCGCTTGGATGCTGCTTCCGCCGCTGATCCCGGGGCGGTACTGCCCGGCCATGGCCGGGAACGTCCAGATGGACGGCTCTGAGGGTCCGGTGGCTGCGGCCACCGCGGGCGCCGCTGAACCCGTGGACACTGGAAGCATCCAGAAAGCTCCCCCAGCTCCGCTGTTCGGAGCAACCGCCCACATTGCCGCCGCAGGGAGGATCCCCTGCGGCCTCGTCAGACCTGCGGCTGCGGCAGCTGCAGCTTCTTGCTGCTGTGACCGTTGATGCAATTGGAGCCCGCTGCCAGCCCTCATAGACTTGGAGGCCGACGACGGGGAGGACGGGCCTGCCCCTCCGCTTCCTTCCGGCTGCTCATCTTTGAAGAGATCCTCTCTAAAACGTTTCCTCAAATAGGTGTCGGCAGAGTCGCCACCGCCGCTACTGCCTCCGCCTTGTAACCCTTCTCCAATCTGATCGGCGGACAGGAGCTGATGTTGGTGGGGATGAGGGTGGAGCTGGTGGAAACCGAGCATTGCGGCAGCGTGGGACATGCCGGGGTCGGTCACCTGCTCGAAGTCGGGGCGGTGGTGGGCGAGGGCAAGCGCGTGGAAGGAGAGCGGGGCGGACTTGGAGGGCGGGGCAGAGAGGGAGGAGCCGCTGCTCCTCAGCGAGATGTTGAGTGTGGAGAAGTTGGCCGGGATGGTGCCGGTACCGGTGGTAGCGATGATGGCGGGTTCCGCCTGCTGCAACAGCCACTCGATGGTCTCGCCGTCCGTCTTGTGCCCGAGCTCCCGCGTCAGCTGGAACACACGCGCCGCACAGATGGCCGGCATGCGGATCCGACGCCCGCGGCCGTCGACCTTGGTGTGGCGATCTTTGGAGGAGCGTTTGGCTGGGGCGCCGCCGCCGGCGAGCTTCTTGGACGTGTCGGCGGCGGCAGAGGAAGATGAGGGGCCAACGGCGCCGGGGGAAAGGGAGGGATCGGGCTTGGCGGTGGAGATGGCGAGGGAGGCGTCGACGACGCCGTGGTGGACGATGGAGCCCATGAAGGGGGCTACTGAGCTGGGGCCCGCTCTGTTCTTTAACGGGACCAGCTCGAGCGACGACGGGATGCTGCTGTTTCCTTGCTGCTTCTGCTGCTGGTGGTGATGGTGGCCAAAGTGGTGCTGTGGCTGGTGGTGTTCCGAAGTGCTTCTGCTGCTGCTGGTGCCACTGCTGCTGTTGCTATTTGCCCGAACTCTTCCCCCTCTCCCTCCTCCTCCTCCTCCTCCTCCTGTTCCTGCACCACCACCTCCCTGTCCTCCATGCCTACTAAGCTCGCTTTGTTCCATGCTTTACTGTTTTCCAATCTATCCCTAAGATCAACACCAATTGCTTGCTTTTCTTTCTTTTCCTTTTCCTCTCCAACTGTGTATATATATTTATCTTGACGGCAGCTCCAGTTCTTATATTTTTGGATGGAGAAAAAAGTCGAGAAGAAATATTAAGGGGGGAGGGGAGGGTAGAGAGAGAGAGAGAGAGCGATATAACCTAGTTAGGGTTTGAGGAGGCAAACACGTGCAGGGGGCCGCTCCATACTTGGCTGGAGACTGGCGTGGGGCTCTCCTGCTGATTGACTGTTGTCTCTGTGCGCGCGTTGGTGCGGGCGAGAATGAAAGGAAGGAAAGAAAGAGAGAGGAGGTGGGGAAGGAAGACGCTACCTGAGGTTGTTTAACCGCACAGATAAGAAAATGATGCAACAAAAGAGTGAGAGCGAGCGGCAAACAATAAGATACGTCACCGAGAAAGAAAGGTGGGAGAGAAGGGGGAAGGCGAGAGAGGCGCGTAGGTTTAGATCCTAAAACCCTAACTCCCTCAGCTTTTCTCCTTCCTCCTCTTTTCTTGCATCGCTTTTCCCCACTGTTTCCTCTCCCCCTCTCTCTCTCTCTCTCTCTCTCTCTCTTTCTCTTTCTCTCTTATGATTCCTCTCTCTCTCTCTCTCTCTCTCTCTCTCTCTCTCTCACCTACACACGCTATAACTGCAGCTTGCTCTCTCTCCTTGACACTGCTTGGGGGAGGGGGGGCCGCCTGAGAAAGAAGCAGTAGCCCGCTCGTGGGGCCTCGGAGAGAATGATGAATATAGACTTCTGAGTTAGAAAGATGCAGTTAGGAACTTAACCATCCTTCTCTTTCCATGTCTCTCTAACTCCATCTCCTCCATTCCACCCGCCGGACGCTGCTAGTCTCCGCTTCGTTCGATGATTAGGAGCTTAAGCACCCTCTTTGCCGTGGTTTCCATTATTATTACTGCGCCCAGGTAATATGAGGAGGAGGAGCAGCAGCAGCAGCAGTAGCAGCAGCAGCAGCAGCAGCAGACATTGCAGGTGCGCGTCAGATAAAGCATCTAATGCTGATGACAGCTCATCCCAACATAAACATCTCTTCTTTTAAAGAAATTTCCTTTCCAAAAGATAAAACCTTTGCACACTGTCCTCCAGTTAAATGAGGCAGACTAATACTCTTGTGAGATACTCCCAACACCAGCAGTAGAATACTCATCTGCCAGTCAACTCCAGGTTGCCCCACTTCCCTCCTCGCACAACACAGCAAGCACACCCCTTTATCCCCCTTCTTATATTAAACGTCACAGGGCGTTCCATTACTTAACTCCTCCCACCTTTATTCATCCCCGCCACCCCCTCTTCTCGGTGCCTTCGGTGCACCAACCCGCGGAGAAGTGTAAGAGGATGGCGTGATCCGATGCGTCTCTTTCTTGCCCTCCTTTTAATAAGGCTTTTTTTTTTCTGTGGGTGCTGATTAAAGGTGAGGTCGGTGCTCATTTGTTTTCTCTCAAAGGCTGAAGCTGAAGCTGAAGCCAAGCTTTTGTTGACTCCACCGGTGGCAATGTCAAACCTTATCATCTGCCCATCTTCAAATCATCTCCCCCCCCCCCCCTGTTTTCCTCCACGGTTGGCCTCTCTGCCTGCACACGCGACTCACCTGACCCACGTGCGCTCGGTGTCTTCTCCCAGTCCCCCCCTCCTCCCTCCCTCCGTGTTCTGTCAAGTTGCAGCGCAAGTTGCAGGAATCGCAGGCGAGACAAAGGAGGAGGAGGAGGAAGAAGAGGTGTGAATTCAAAATAAGCAAAGGTGGGGGTGTATTATATGGAGCCCTGAACACCAGAGACAACAGAATCACTGTTCCTGCATCACGCCACCATTGTTGGCTTCTCCGGATATGGGATTCCTGATGATGACACCATCCCATCCCACTCACATCACAAAAATAATCCACGCAAACGATGCTGGGTTACTGCTCATCCATGGATATCATAATCAACCGAGTGAATCATTTCTCCCTGGTGTGCATTTGAAGAAGGCCAACCTGTCTGCATCCATCTTTGTGTCAATATTATACGAAAAGCAGAGCAAAGAAATCAGCTTTCAGCCGGTTTTGGGGCTCTACACCCACAAAGCGAACCGAAACCGGCGCCAGGGGCTTTCCTATTGAGGGAGATGGGTAAAAGGAACAAGTACTGCAGCGAGGTGTCTGGTTTTAGCTTCTTCGCCTTGGCCTGCGCGTGTTGTGCGTGCGCGGGGGGTGGAGCTTCAGGAGTTACTGCGGTAAAAGGAGACGCGAGGAGGAAGACGACGGTGGTAATTGATCAATTATTGTGGGGGACACAGCAAAGTAAAAGTGCAGTAACCGGATGCCGTAGAACTGCACCCTCTCCTTTCCATTTCACCGTCCTCTGCTTCTGCTGCTGCTGCTGCTGCATGACGCGGATGCCTCGTACGGGCTTGAAATAAACCAAAAGGAATTGAAAGTGTTTCCTCCTCCTTCTTCTTCTTCGTCTGGATTTGAGATGTGAGCTTAGAGGATTTGAAAGCAGAAATCCTCCACCAGGGGTGACCCAAAAACAAAAAAGTCTCATGAATGGAGGTAGATTCCCTCTCGATCCACACTTGAACTGTCATGTGCTCTTCCCAATGACTGTCCTCCCTCCCTAACTGCAGTCACAAAGTACTTCCCATCTCTAAGCCAAAAAAGAAAAAAAAAAAGAGAGCTCACAGCAACATCGGTAGTGGTTTTTGTCATTGAGATTAGGAAAAGTACAAACCATGTCGATTGAGATCCTTAGTAATGGATTGGTTTGTAGCCTTGCGCTTGTCTTCTTCCCCCTCCTCACAGCTCATGTCTCACGAACTCCTCTCTCTCTCTCTCTCTATTTCCTTCTTCCTGGACAATGATTCTTTCTCCTGTCCTTGGAGAGCATACAAACTGTCAAGAACAAGCTCATTAACCATGTGGGCCAATCATGGGTTTGCAGATCAGCACTGTAGCATTTTAAATATCAGAATGTGGAGGAGCCAAATCTGTCACGCACACATATTAAATTGCGTGGATACAGGTGGACAGTAATGAGGTGGGTCATCGAGCTGCACCCTCTGCCTGCATTATCTACTCAAAACAATTGCAGCTACGCAGCTTTATGGGGGAGCTTACTAAAAGCCTTCTTGCCGGTGGCTGCGATGCATCAAATCTCATCACCCCCTTCACATGCCTCCCTTCTGCCATTCCTTTTTTCTTGCTTCTTTCCTCCTCCCTCATTCATTGACTAAGCCATGACTCGGCTTCACCACCATTCGGTCTTTACTCCTCACCCAACTGTTTTGGCGTATGACACAGTGGAAGGAAGAGAACCAAAAGGCCAAGAAATAATATGAAGCAGGAGATCAATGTGGAAGAGGACCTACCTCTTCCCATCGCATTCGATTCCTTTCCATCGAAATATCGGGTGTGAAAGAAAAGAGCCACTGCAGTCAATTTGATTTGAGTCGTAGCCTGTCGATCACAGTTCTTCTATCGTATGTCTTCGAAGATTGACTCGTAGCTGCTGTAAGTTTCGGTGTGTGTCTGGTCTTCCGAGGCTTTCGCATATCTCTTCTCCGAATCCAGAGGACAAACGTCGAACACTTTATCTACCGAGGAGGCTATCAAGTCCGGTGATCTCCTAAAACCAGTAATTAGTTTCCCCTCGATATGATAAGAAAGCAGGGAAGAACAATGATTGAGGAAAGAAGGTGTAGTAGGCATGATGACTTTTAGGTGGCAAAGAAAAGGGTGAAGCCATATGATGGGAAGCTGCTCCTTTGGGTGCATCATTCAACCATGCAGATGGAGGCACTGTTGGCGTTCTTTACAGCACAAAGTGCAGAGGGCAGCAATGATGGCCGTGGCCATGGCCATCAGCCCCAGTTGCAGGTACAGTGACGAATGTTGATGCTGTCAATTCTCTTGCTCGTTGTCCCTCCTCAACAGATCTGTGCGCATACTTAAGCTACACAGAACGCCGATGCCAAGCTAAGATGATGGTCAAATCTTTGAGCATGGTGATAGATCTTCGGTGGATTTTTTTTTGTGGGAACAACTTTCTTGATTATTTATTATGGATCTTCTGTTCTCGTCTATAAATAAACATGACCTAAATGATACAGTTGAGATATTATAATTTCTTTCTCAATCTCCCTAATTCTAGTTTTCCTTACAAATTAACAATGATTATTTAATTTAAAGACGATGCGCAGACATAACTTTTTTTTCAGATACATTGAAAGGTACACATCGTAAAAATCGATCTAATATTATTTGATTTCAATTCTAATATATATTTTTTTTCACATTATATATAACATATCCTAGATTTTATACTTATCTCAATGATTGATTGTACATCTGATGATGAGTCATGTGATATCACACTATATGAGAAGACCGAAAAGGGTATGGAGTGCCGCAAAGCCCTGTTTAAGACACACCCACAGCATTTTTTGATGATCGGCATGTGTTTTAGTATCATTAGTGTTAAATTTGATGGTACATTTGTTGGGTTAAAAAATTACATATTTAAATTAATAAATATTAAAAATAAAAAAATAAAATCACGTCTCACTTTATAAGTAGGTTAAAACTTTGATTGATTTATAAGAACTTGATATGTGTATTATTACTAATTTGATCTTAAGTATTTTTTTTGTTAGTGGTTGATGTTGAATGAAGTTAGTGAGTTAATTCATCATGTTAGATCATGATAAATTGCATTCTTAAATGAGGAAGATTGTGATACATCCATTCAATAAATGAATTAGAGTTATTTAGGAATTACTTTGCAAGTGTCCAAATGTTATTTTGATAGGTTAATGTCCCAAGGGATATTCTTTCATCAATATAGTTATTATTATTATTCCCCAAAAAAATATTAAAACATTATTTTTTTTCATAAACAATTTCAAGTTTCTTCATTTAAATTTATCTAGGAGGCTTTTACTTATAAAATGATGATAAAAATATTCATAAGGAATAAATCATAATCATATATATATATATATATATATATATATATATAATTATAAATATTAGCTGAGTTAAGTTATTCTTGAGAGGATGCATGTATCTATTTATTTTTCTTTTATGGTCTATGACATGGGTATTTTAGTAATTTAAAATTATCTATGATTTAGGGTTTTTAGTCTCCTCTATATATACATCCATCCATCCTCTTGTCTTAGAACATTGTGAAAATGAAATCGGCTAATGAAAATAAATTATCGTGGATAATGAGATCGACTAGCAAAAAGATAATGAGATGGAAGGGAAATTGCCCAAAGAGAGAGAGGTAGGGATTCCTTTCCTTTACTCTTTGTTAAGTATTGTAAGTATTGCTAGAAATTGTCTTGCTTAACCATTGTTATAATAATATGTTTGTAGGAAGGATTAGTGATAGAGAATAATGAACCCTTTTTAATCTAAATCATCTCGATGATTAGCATGTAGTGTGAGTATTGTTTGCATGTAAGACATATCTTTCTTTTAAGTCAATCCTTAGATTTTGTTTCCTCCTCTCTTCACACACTCCATAGATTGGTTAAGTCAATCCTTAGATGGCATATTGCAAATAATAGAAAGAAACGAAAAAGACAGAGACAAAAGCAAATTTTGATG